CAGTAGAGCTGCATAGATATTGCCAAAGCTCACCACTAGAGCTGCAAGCAAGGGCAACACATGCACGATTTTGACGGCCCTCTGGTATAGCAGAAGAAATCAAAGAATTTATGGTGCTTAATGTTGAACTGCCGCTATGCTTATTTGTCTTCTTCAGGTTATATGACGTGGCATTAGTATATACAGGAGAGAGAGTCACTCCCACATCCTCATGATCATCATAACTAACAATTGGCTGAGTCACAGCATCAGAGAATATGTCTGACCAGTATAAAAGAGTTCGACTTTTTTGATCACATGCAATAACACCAACTGAACAGCAATGTGGAACAACTTCATTTGTATCTTGCTTTCTATTCCAATTGACAACACTGACTAACCATTTATCAGAACTGTGAGAATGCCCTTTATCATCATTTCCGGTAGAAGGGAGTTTGAGGACAACACAGTTCTTAGAAGCAGCTGAAGCTAAGTAACCCCAAATAAAGAGTTTGCTTCCACAGATAATCCAAGCCAGCTGAGTTTCCTTATCCATTCCACCAGAGTGTGCTGCTTTGCCTGGAAAAAAAGAGCAGATGAAGGTGATGTGACATGAAAACACAAACATTCTTACCTCAACTCAACTCATTGGCACGGTTTCCCCCTTCCCCATTTTCCCCACGGAATTATACAAGTAACACAATGTGGCAGAATTGGAACAAAGACTATGGTTTGTTATTAAGCCTCCCACCCAAGAAGCTGCGCGGTACAGTGAATCAACTCCTTTCAACATGTCTTGTGGTGGGATGCACACGACACCTAGGTGAACATTTTTGCCTTTTAAGACAACCTTATTAAGCCCTTGGAGTTTGAAATTCAGCACTAAAGAGGACACAAACCAGCAAACTTCACTAACCAGAAGCACGGCTTTGAAGCACAGCAGCTTGTTCATCACGTAAGAGTTGGGGAAATTCTCCAACAAATACAGGCTTCACTTGATCGGCCTCATTCTCCTTATCACTTTTCTTTGTAGGAGGAATTCTACAAAAAGAAAATGAAAATGGCTATCAATAATCAGCCGAAAAGCTTTCTGCAATCTATCTCCACAATACACGAAGCATGTTGCTGGTATTTACTCTAACCCTATCCCAACTACAATACATGGAGTATGTCATACAAATATCACGGAATGCCAAACCCAATTAAATCTGTATCTAAAGCTCCCCGAATCTAGAATCACTTGAATAACTTCATTTCAGAAAGGCTTCCAGCAAAATGCATAAAAAGGCCGACCAAAAAATAGCACTCGTGATCGCGTGTACCTGGCGAGAACAGAAAGACGAGAAGCCCATGGAGCAGGAGTGCCGGTGCTAGGGCGATTAAGAACATCGTTACCAAGGTGAGACCTCCGGCTCTCGACCAGAGGCGTCACCGGCGAATCGGCAGCTGACCTTTCGCGGCCGCTCTTCCTTGCCGTGAAGTTAGTTTTCCTCGTTCCCGGAGAGAACATTTTCCAATGCTATCGGAGGAGTAGGGTTCAGGGTTTTACTGGGAATGAAAGAGGGAATACCAGAAAGTGCGCCTATTTACCGGCCATGAAAATGGCGGACCGGGAGACCACATATAAGGATATGATAGGGGTACACTACTCTCCCTCTCTACTTTTTTTTAATTTTTTTTATCTTTTTTTTTTTGTGAGATGATGGAGCGGGTGAGGATGTTTGGAGTACACTTTTGGTGTACCTCTAGCATTTTCCAATATCCAATTATGCACAAACTCCTTTTCCAATTTCGAAATACTCCTCGTCACACTCGTTGTATTAAAAAATAAATTTGAGGGAAGAGAGGGAAAGGTGAAAAAGATTACTTCTAAGAATTTAAAAGACGATATCATTTATGATGGTGTAAATTACTTGACCGGTCAAACTATACTAGACCGCGCCTAGAATAGTTTGCTTGATTCGGGAAAGTAAGAAAGATAAAAACACGCAGATTGACCGGTAGGACTTTAGGTGGAACACTTGTAGCCCAATTTATATTATAACGCAGAATACACGGGTGCTTTTACAAGGGAGTTTAGAGAGAATGAACTCGGATCCCTCTTTCTGAGGTTTACATGAGTATTTATACTATGCTAAAGGGGACAAGACCACGTGCGCCCACGTGGGGGCATGCTGCTGATGTGGTGCGAGGTGACTAGTTTCGTCCTTGAGCTGCCTTGTCGCCTTGTGAAGGGGATTATTCTCTTTGTCGAGTAGTGCCTTGGATGGATTCTTCAGCATCTCCAGTTGTCTTCTACTGACATGGGTCGCTACACGCCAAGCCCTCTTAGATTCTCTTCAGCCGACACTTTCCAACCCTAGAAACTACACCGGGTAATCTCTGAGAGATGAATTCATCGAAGTCTGGGAATAAATAGGGTGACAACGTAGTTTGACCGGTATACTTTTTCGTGAAGTATACCGGTCATCTTTTGCCCGACTACAAATCGATTTGCTGACGATTTAAGTCTCCCTTCCAAGACTTTTGAGATTGACCGGTCAACTAATTGGTCTTCTCCTTTGACCGGTCGTGGGTGGAATACACCCATCAATAAGCCCTCCATTTCTCGGTCATGCAATTTGTCATGGGCGGTGATGGTATAAATTATCGACCGGTATATCGTTTTTAGCTCGATAAAAACGATAAACTAGTCTAAAAAATACACCAAAATATAAACACAGGAATTTTGACATGGAAACCCAAATCGGGAAGAGAACCACGGGCCTTTTTTGGCGGTACCTTGCCAACGGGGGATTTTTATTTATATTGGGGGTTGTACACGATACATGAATTTGGCTTGGAAGCCATTAATGCAAGCTTGAAGCTTGCATGAGAAATAAATTACAAGTTCTCTAGAGAGAGAAAGAAAGGTGGGCAGAGGAGAGAGAGGAAAGAGGCCTCCCCTTCACATTGGGGGCACCCTCTTTTTATAGGGGAGGAGGGGAAACATATTCGGGGAATATTCTCTTATTCCTCCAGAGGCGGGGTGGGCATCAGATTAGCAGGTATATAATTGTCGGGATGCCCCAAAACATTAGGAGCATAAAAAATCCAAATGGAAAAATATATAGCAAAAGCTACCCAACCTACTAAATCCTTTACATAAAAATAAGGGTAAGAAGCAATTTTATCCATCTCTGAATGTACACCCAATGGATTATTGGATCCATATTGATGCAATGCGGCCAGATGAAGAAGACTGGCGTCTGCTAAAATAAAGGGGAGTAAATGATGAAGACTAAAAAAACGATTTAAGGTGGCATTGTCGGCGGAGAACCCACCCCAAAGCCAAGTCACTATGGTATCTCCTACTACAGGTATGGCGCTAGCTAAGCTTGTAATTACTGTAGCTCCCCAAAAGCTCAAAGTTAGAGAGCGTATCCATTTTCATTGTAAAAAAGATTGATGTTACTCTGAACCTTTAAAATAGTTCTAGGCTTAAGAGCTAGACTACTATTTAAAACGAGTATTCTTAACTTTTAAAATTGTTCTAGGCTTAATACGCACAATTAATTCTCTTAAAAATAGTTTTCTTTACTTATTATAGATAACTGTGAAAAAAACAGTGTGACACACAATACTAGTAATACATTACAGTTTCTCAAAACTTTGAAAATAGTTCTAGGCTTAATAGTCTAACTACTATTTAAAAAGGGTATTCTTAATTTATAATAGACAACTTGTAATAGATTACGGTTTATATGAATTTTAAAAATAGTTCTATGCTATATAAATATACTACTGTTACACGGGAGTCTTCTATTCTTATAATAAACAACTATGCAAAACAAAATCATATGAAACATACAACTTACAATAGAATACTATTTTTTATAAGTTTAAAAACAGTTATAAACTGAAAAACAAGACTACTGTTTAGAAATAGTAGTCTTAACTAATTTTTGAAAACTGTGGCAACAAAAACTGTATTTTTAGATGAAACGGACTACTAATAAAAGATTATCGTTTCTCACAACTTTAAAAACAGTTCTGCCCTTAATTCATAGACTACTATTACCAAAGAGTCTTCTATTCCCATTAGAAACAAGTCAAACAACAGTGGCAAAAAAACCATATGAAACAGACAACTTGCGATAGATAACTGTTTCTAATAAGTTTAAAAACAGTTCTAGAGTAAAACACCAGACTACTATTTAAATAGAGTATTCTTAACTTTTTATTGACAACTGTTGTAACAAGAACTGTATTTAGAACTAACACAGACAACTAGTGATAGATTACCATTTCTCGAAACTTTAAAAACAGTTTTAAAGCATAATAGCTAGACCATTGTTCGGTAGGCAAGAAAAACTCATAGTAGTCTGTTTTTTTAACTATTGTGTTTTCATGAACAGTAGTTAATCAACAGTTGTCTGATCCTGTTTTTGGCGTAGTGTGTATAAGTTTGAATGATGATATTTAAGAATCGACTATGTTCATTATCCTTGTTAAAATAATAAAGATGAATTTAATAATGAAAAAAACAAATATTTGAACATATATATGTGATTGGATTGTTTAAGAAATTATTCTGTGAATTCTTTTGTTGTGCCATGGTACCACTCAGCTTCATTGCTGAGCGTGTAGACTTTTTCATCTTTCCACACGTAGGTATGAGAGCGAATAAATATGGAGCCTATTCTGGAGATTACTGAGATGGAGGTGATGTGTGGACGTGCACAAAATCTACTATTTAAGAAAATGATTTTATCACATGATTGACCATAATGTTGTAGTTTGCAAATCGCTTCCGCACTATTTTAAATAATTTTACTCCGATGTTATTATGAAATATTTAGTACAATTGTTGAAACAAAGTTTTTAAATGTTTGAAATTTTTACGTTACCAAGTTAATACTTTAGTTCAAAAGGGGCTGCAGACCTGGACGGATTAGGATGTTACGATACCCACCCCATAAATCACAATGAATCAAGGAAAAAGGAGTAAGAGTTTTATTTGAACTAATTGGAAAAGAGTCACGACATTGTTTTGAACGAAAACACACATCACAAGAGGAATTAAGGATATTGGTATTTTTGGATAATTGAAGAAAAGTGTTGACAATGGTGTTAGAGGGATGATCGAGACGCTTGTGCCAAATGTCCTGATCCTTTGCCTCCTTCACTGTGCAGACTTTGTCCTTCACACCTTTCTTGAGATAGTATAGTCCTTCAGCCTGCTCACCCATTCCAATCACCATCTTCGAGATCATATAGTCCTGTATAATACAAATTTTATTAGAAATATTTGCACTAAATAGCACTAAAACTTAAGTCATTTCCTTAAATAGCACTTAAACTGTTTTATTCTCTAAATAGCACTTATAATGTCCATAATGTCCAGTGATGGCGAAATTTTGCTTGAATAATGACTAATGCATAATGACTAAAAGTGCTACATTGGAAAGAAAAACATATGTAGTGCTATTTAAGGAAAGTCATTATGTTTTAGTGCTATTTAGGTAAATTCCTCATTTTATTATTAAACTTGACAATTAAATTCTTTTTCTCAAGAAGTTGTGAGACAGATATAAGATTACAGTTAAGTTAAGGAACTAGCAAGATATTTTCTAAGGTTATCAAATTATTCAAGATCACACTCCCCTTTTTGTTAAATACCACAAAATCTTCATTTGGTAGACCAACATAACAAGGTTTCATTACTTCTAAGTTTTTAAAACACTTCTCATATATCGCTAGTCATATGTTGGCTGGCTCCACTATCTTTGATGCAACAAATTAAAAATTTTAGATGTTTTGAATCTTTATTTTTTTAATTCTTTCTTCATAGTTCATGTCATAACAAAATTTCCCCAAATTCACACAGAAATGCAAGATTCTCAAAATGGATTATCTCTAAAGGAAAAATAAAATATGATGTAGGCAGTCTTTTATATATATTTAGCATTCTGCACAATTTACATGTTGCATATATAATCTAAACATATTTTTAAATTTTTGTTTCTCTAAATGCAGGAGCATCTAAAATTGATTCCACTAATAATGTATCGTAAGCAGATGAACCTTTACCTCGACATCTAAATTTAAAATATATTGAGTGTGTCCACTATATTAATTTACGAACTATTTTCTTTCATTGTTTATAATATTTTATACATATAATTAGTTAATACAAAAAGACAATAGTTGTATTATCATCTTTAAAGAAATTAGTAGAATGGGTTATAGAGAATTAGAGATAGATCATTTCTCTTCTGTCTCTTATGCACTTGAAAGCGCGATGAATCGTTTGTTTCGGGGTTAGAAAATTGTAGATGCTTTTTTGGGAAATATGGACTAGAACGTGTTTGCAAAGTACATTCTTTCTCTAACGTGTCCGATGATGCAAGTGTATAGCCGATGACGATCTCTCTCCTGCTGTATTTGTTATAACCATCAAAAAATAAATATTATAATTTTTTATCTAAAAACTTTAAATATAATTTTTTTATTATCTACTAATATTTGTTACATTGATGTCGATGGTTCAATGAATAAATAAAAAAGAATATTACTTATTTATATTATTTTGACATATATGTCAAAATAATTAGCATGTTTTATATTTTTTAAGAATTAAATTTATAAGTAATTACATTTATAACAATTAATATTATATCATCAGTATTTCGATTAGCAACACCAATTACGTAGTAATATTTAATTTCTTACACAAATACTCACTTACCAAGTCTTGATCATCTTAAAAAGTTATAAATGGAAAATGATCACATGTAAATATTTACAAAGCTAGACATGGAAAACAATAATTTTAAAATGGAAAATACTAATTTTAAAATGGAACATACTTGTTATTTGATTTAGAATTTTTTTTATATATGGAATAAAATTAATGCTCTATTAAATAAACGTGTCCATAAAAATCCATTTCCTTTTATATATTTGTTTCTATTTTTTAAATAATTAGAAAATCTCTCCAATTAGTATTAATTCAAAGCAAAAAAATTAATTGTAATTTCGTTTAGTCCTACCAATCTAACCATTTTTAGATTAAATTTATTTGTTTTGATTATAGGTTTTGAATATTTTTTTAAATTTCAAAGTTTAGTATTTAATTTAAATATTTTCCAATAATAATTAAAAATATTAAAGTTTTAAACGCAATTATATGGAGAAATTGGTGTGTAACAAATACGAAATTTAATTTTCACATAATAAGTTGTTTTACTAACTATTTTTTTAAACAAAACTTGCTAACATAGTATGCTGACATGTCAAAAAAGTTCTCCAATAAGCACGCCTCATGTCACGATTATAGAAGCCCAACGCGTTTGAAATATTGAGGAAGTCTATTTTGATGACATGACTGATGAAATATAAAAAAAATTCCAGTCAACACGCCAAATGTTGCGATTCTGAGAATTCAACTTTTAAATTATATATATAAAGATCATTTCTATAAAATCAACTTAGATAGAATTGAATTCTCTTATTCCAATTTATTTTTTGCCTTCCTAAATTCATATCTTATATTCTTGTGGTATCAAAGGAGATTCTAAATTTTTGTTTTGCCCCGAATCCGAACAGCTGAAGAAATAAGGCCGATCGATCCCAATTGAAGATTAGGATGGGTTTAGTTTCTTTCTTGGGACTCGATCGATTGGGGTCGGGGCTACGTTTCCGGTGGGAAGCGCCATGGGGACGGGGTCACTACTGCCTATGTTTGTACTAATAGCGGCCCGTCTACTTTGGGTCCTTCTCGAACACCCGCGTCTAACAAGCAGGTGCGTTAGGGTTCTAGATACAGTTCCCTAAGCTAGACAATTGGGTTAAACATCATAAGACAAAGGCTCCGGCGGCCGGCGACCTCAAGAGGATCCTGCTCAAACTTCGTAAGGACGGCCGCTTCTATCAAGCCCTACAGGTAGTTCAATTAGCTTCTACTCCCTATTACAGATTCAATCTCCAATCCATGCTTCTATATGCTTTACAAAAACTTGCTCCGAGGTACCCTATCCATGTCCTATGTTTGTGGTAAGGCCTAATAACTCAAGCAACACGGAGATTAGCTAGTACAACAAAAGAATCAAAGAGCAAACAAAAGGAAGAATAGCGCGCTAAGACAAAGGGCACACAAACAGATTTGAGAAGAAAGAACCCAAACCTACAAAGCACACAACAACAAGAACAAAACTACCACTCCGGCCCAAATATCAGAAGTCCTAAGTCCTTCCTTATTACCTCCTTCTAAAGTCCTAAGTCCTTCCTTATTACCTCCTTATTACCTCCAAAGTCAAAATCAACTTGTGGGGTGTAATTGAAGGGGGTGGGGGGTGTGTTCGGGTCTGGGCATGATAAGGGGGTTTACCGGGGAAGTTAGGGGTAAGAACCGTCAATTTTACCAACGGGGTACCGGAGCGCATCCGGGTCATCCCATGACATTGGTTCCCAATGTCATGGGAACCTTGGTGAAAATGAAATCAAGACAATGTGCAGCACACGGAGTCCAATAGAGGTGTGGCCTTTTGGCTTGAAGTAATTTGCCTACAAAGTAAACATTTAACCATGTAAAGCAAGAATGAAAGATGGTAAACATTTTTTAGTTATATAATCATATGCAAAAAATCACACCTGCAAGAATATTATTTGTAGCGTACTCTGTTACAACTTAAACAACATTGTTTTTCTTCCAAATGCTCCACATAACTATCCAATAGGCTGAACAACATTACTCCACCTTTTCATGTTCTGCAACAATAGATCCAAGAAAATTGATCCCCGAGGTGAGTTAACCAAAAAGTTATGTATGTTCTGGTGCCTACCATCGTCCATCCATCTGTCATTAGAGTAACACCATACTTTTCCCACACACCTTTGCATGATTTTATGTAATCACTCACTTTGTCTATAGACTTTTTCAAAAGTTTCACACTCACTTCATTATTACTTGGTCCTTTTAAGCCTATACCATATTGACCAACAAGATCTAATATTTCTTGAAAAATTGGATAATTCACAGCATTAAAAGCCATTCCAGCATCATACATCTACTCACCTATGCCCAATATGACTTTTTCTATAAATTCTTTCCTAAACTTTTCATTGATGGTTGTTTTCTTATCACCTTTCTTTTTGCTAGAATGAGGAATAGTAGTGAAAAACATGTCCATAGGACCCATTTGCCTTGCCTTCTTTCTAACATTACTTCCCAAGTTTTGAGTAGAAGGCATACCTCCATCATCATGAACATCATTGTTATCTACATCATTCACATTGACAAAAGAAGGCTGTGCTTGCTTTTCCAAGTCTTTTTGGGCTTTCTTTGACAGCATATAATTTCTTATTTCTTTACGCACTGATGGAGGACATTTCAAGCATCTATTTGCATTTCGTTGCCCTCTTACAATATGTTCTTTGGCACGAAAGATGCCCCTTTATGGATTCTATTACAAGAGATGCAAATAGTATCATTCCTATTTATTTTTGAGACCCTCAGAGCATACTTCCATTCAGGATCATCAGAATTTGGGCCACCTTCCACTTCGAAATTTGGAGATTCTTCCATACTACAACAAAGTGTTTGAAAAATTCACTTAAAAAACAAAAGTTATATAAAAAAAGAACAATATGTTTTTAAAAAAGAGAACTAGTGAAAAACAGAGGGCTTGCTCAGTAGAATGAAGAGAAAGCAACGGGAAAAAAAGCCGTAAGAAGGAAGAGAGCCGACTTAACTTTCTTCTGAGTAGGTGTGCCTATTTCTCGAAGAAATAAATGAAAGAGAAAAAATCGTTTAATTTGCCAAAGAAGTTGCCCAGTAGGTATGCCATTTAATCTCCTGGGCATCATCCTACTGTAGTCAATCCATATATATATATATATATATATATATATATATATATATATATATATATATTTATTGACACACACGCACGCACACACTCAAACCCTTTCGAATTCCATGAACCAAACATAGTGTTTGAGTCGCTTTGCCATACATGGAATTCAGGCTGTTGAAATATTATCATTCTTTTTATTCTGTGCCAAATGAAACAAGAGTAATATTTTGTTGTATGTTACCTTTGGTAAGCAGGTCTGAATCTAGTGTCAGTTAAATCATAGTTGATGGAATGATTTTTAATAAAAAAAACATAATAGTTTCTGATTCAATTGAAAGATTTGAGATGCATTGTGATAGTGTTTTGCTTTCGCTGCGTGTTGCAGGTTTATGAATGGATGAGAAAGAAAGGTATTTATAAACTCTCATCTAGTGACTATGCTGTCCAGTTCAACTTGATTTGTAAGGTTCGAGGACGTTCTGCTGCGGTGCACTATGCCAAGAACTTGCCAAAACAAGCTAGAAATGACAAGACGTATGGAAAACTCCTTCGATGTTATGTGGATCCACGCAGTGGATACATACATAGCATACATAGGAGTCCTTTATTCCCTCTTCCGAAAATGAAAGAGTTGGGTTTTGCGTTGTCGCCTCGACCTTTTAATGAAATCATGCGCTTTAACGCCTCCAAACCTGCGGATGTCCTTGAGGTGTTGGCCGAGCTGAAGAAGAGCGGGGTTTCCCCTGATAATGATAGTTACAGAATCTGCATTAGTTCATTTGGGTTAAAATATGATCTGGATGGGATGGAGAGAATGCTGAGAGAAATGGAGACTCAACCCCACATTGTAATGGACTGGTGTACTTACGCCGTTGTAGCCGAGTTCTATGATAGAGGATTCCTTATAGATAAAGCCAATGATGCTCTTGAAAAGGTGAGGGTGATGTTACAAAAGAAAAGAAGAAAACCCCCCAATTATCTGCTAGAAACTGATTATGAGAATGTGATAAAGTCACTGGGGAAGCTTGGTGAGTTTGACGAGGCTATGAACTTTGTCAAGGAGTGGGAAATACTTGGTAATTTTCGCCAACTGGATGTTAGTAACATTCCTTGCACAATCATAGAGGAGTACATAAAAAATGGCAAGTTACAAGAGGCATTTTATAAAATCCGGGCGTGGTCTAGAACAGAGAAAAGGGGATGGGGAACATTTGGCATCGGCGGACTTTCACGCTTACTTTGTAAAGAATACATTAAAGTGGGTAATATGTTTCAAGCGTTTAACTGCTTTCGGGAAACTCGGCATGGTTTCCAAGTTCACCCAGTCGTGCCTATGTTGTTTTTTAAATACCTAGAGGAAGAATGTGGATCGTTCTTTCCTTTGCGATGCACTGGATCAATTAAACATGTCACAGGCACAATATTCTCAGAAGCCAATCGGGTACATCATGAATACTTGACTCAAGCCTCAAATATGGATTACAAGAATAGTATCAAGTCAAAAGTCGAGTCGGGCAAGTTAAATGAGGCCATGAAGATGGTGACAGAGTGGGAAGCATCCGGGAATTATGACTTGAACATTCTTAAGATGATCATTGAGGGATACTGTAAAAAGTCATTCTTTATGGAAGCAGAGGCAATGGTGGAAGCTTGGACAAGAGAAAAAAGGCCCCGGGTCTCAGAAATCTGGTTTGTACTCGCTTCGCAATACCAGCTGTATGGTAAATTGGTGAGAGGATTCGAGTGCATGAAGAGGTGTTTTGCTTTAACACCAGAGCTCAAGGGCATTTACGGTATGATGTTCTGGACGTTTATGAATGGCATTCAATATTCCAGAGGTATGGACGCACGGGGGCAGCAGCAGCACCAGCAGCAGCTACTTTGACCCTTCATTCTCATTTGTCATTAAAACTATCTGTCTTCTCTACCCCCTTCCCAAAAACTATACTCTACTACGGAGTAGCACTACTCCAATGTTCTATTTAACTTTTGTTTATTTATACTTTTTATTGATTATTTTTTAAAACAAAATATTTTTTTCATATCTTATTCTATTGGAAAAAATTTGCTCTAATACACACACAAACACACATAAATATAAATACACACACACACACACACACTCCGTATATATGTGTGTGTTTGTGTGTGTGTGTTTGTGTCATTTTTGTTAGCTATGTTCTTTTAATGCTAAATGTACAATTTAATGAGATCCAATAAGCTTCAAATAATGCTGAATTAGACCAATTAAAATACTATATTTTAAATTTTTGATTAAGTAAATACTCCCTCCGTCCCAAATTATAATGTTTGGTTCACTATTCATAGGGTTAAACTTTATTCATTTTTCTTTCTCTGGTTTTGTTAGCAATTTGATAAAATAAAATACTATTGTTAGTACTAGTTTTGTAGATTTTTTGATATAGTATTTCAATATGTAATTTTTATTTTTAACTCTAAACCATTTTTCATATAAAATGATTTGAAAATAATTTCAATCAAACATTGTAAATCAAAACAGACACTATATATTGGGGCGACATGAGTATATTTTTAGGCTTTTTTTGTACCGTGGAAACTGAAAAATCCTTTATATATATAAAGCAGAGTCAGAGCTATAAGAACGTGACATTTGGCAGAGCTAAAGCACAACATGTGGCGACATTTGGCAAAGTTAAAGCGCGACATGTGTCACCCTTTTAGACAAATCGATCGGTTTGACCGGTTAGACCAGTTCTTTTTTTGCAATTTTTTTCCAAAAGCATACCACCATGAGGTTTGAAACAAGGATCTCTTGGTCATTTAGTTGAGTTCCTAACCATCCAAGCTAGAGTGCTTTTTGTTACAATCTCACTTAAGCTTTTATAATGTTTCATAATTAAAAAAGGATTGTATAAAAATTTCTTTTTAGTTATAAAAAATATAATCCTTTAATATAATATTTGAGACTCCGTTTGCTAGAAAGTCGCCAAAAGACAAGCTTATGTGGCCTATATTAAGGTGAGATGGCAAGTCTTTATTGGTTGCTTATGTGACAAATTTTATTAATGATGAATTGACCTTTCTTTTTATTTTAAAATAGAAATTTAATAATGATTTCAAATTTTGGAAAAATTCTACGTTAAAATATTTAGTACAAATAAAGAATTCATTATTTTGTGACATTAGTTGAGTATTTATATTTTTTATTTTTAAAAAGCAATTCATCTATTTATTTGTTATGATGTGATAAAATTAATTATGTTATAAAATCAAATTTGTGAAAGATAAATGTAGTATTGTCCGAAATAGAATTTTTAAAGGAAAACAATTATATAAAATATAATTTTATGATAAAAATTATTATGATGTAGCAAACAATTAGTGAAAATATAAAATTGGTATTATCACTTACCATTTCAAGACTAGCATTTTTTATGAATCAAATTTTTAACTAAGTGCATACACAAAAAACAAAATTTTGATAATGATATATTCTCATTTAA